TTAGTTCACTCTAGACCATCAATCATAACTGATGAGAGTCAGGTAAAAAAGAGAAGTTGTAGATTTTAGCGTCAATCGACAAAAATCATATTGTCATGTTTCAAAACCTTCTTCGTCGATTTTTCATAGTGGTAATTTTCTGAGTATGAGAAAACATGTTCTGTCATAATAGATAGTCCTCAACCTCATCACTATGAATAATAAAAACTGCGAAAATGACGCTTCTCGGCGGACATACAATTGACCACCTATGGTTGCAATCTCAGGCAGGCGGCTTGAATGAAAAAAGAGCACATTTTATTTTTCACGAATGACTCCAATCAGTTACCACATACGAAAACAAATATTTGTGAGAAATAGAAACGTATCAACGTGGTTCATTCAGACTCTAACATGAACCTTTTCATGTGATTCGGAATTCGGGGTTTGGGAAGAAGGTGATTGTTATAATTTTTCATCTGTCCACTTCTTCCTTGTCGTTCGGTGGCGAGCAAAATCAGCCGATAATCAGTTAGTGCTTGTCTGTACAACTGCATCCGGTAATAACACTCTGAACGTGCAAGATAGAACCACACGTTGTCCGGCATCAGGGAGATTGCTGTTAAACCAACGTTGAGGTTGCGTGATATGGAGGGGGGAGGTGAAGAGGGGGGGGGAGGGAAGGGAAAATGAAACAGAAAATAAATGGTAAATTGCGAGATTGATAATGAGTATAGTATAGAACTTTACACAGGATCAGAGAACTTTGTCAGTCCCCGAAAATATGCTATAGAGTTAGAAGCAATTCTTCAGTGATTCAGAGTTTCAGTCTTTTTACGAAATGCAAACACGCCAGTGGCAGAATGTAAATGAAAACGAGAATGTACGGTTATGAGTGCACACTCTAATGGGATTGAATGGAAGTGAAGAGAAAGTGGAGAGAGATAAAGAATGTGTCCATCTGAGGCGCAGGTGAACATCAGTAAAAGACTCCTCCGCTAGCTGACGAGTCACAACGTCAGACAGTGTTCACTGTCAATTGTAGTGACGTGCTCGTCTTCAGAAGGTGCATATTTCATTAAAACATAATGGAGGGAACCAAAGGAGTTGACTGAATCTTATCTACCGTTCCAGGGTTTGTTTCACAGAAAGAAAGATCTACTGAGTGCTTTGGAAAGCTGGAAGCTTGAGTATCCTGACTGTATCGAAATACTTCAGTCCTCTCTCCCTGAGAGAAAAAAACAATCTGCATCAGATGCTCTTAGCTCGATCCTTTAGGGAAATATGTGAAGAAGTCCTGCGCACAACCCACACACATTGTTAGTATTGGAGCATTGGAGTTGATCATGAGTGAGTGCGAATCATACTGCAAGATTTTAGTCAGCAGTCGGCAGCTTGGAGGAATACACTTAATCATTATTTCTGTAAATTTAGTAGACAGCAGACAGATTTTAGTTGTTCCTGGTGGTTCAATGAGTCAATTTAGTGCGCGAGAGTCTGTCCGGCGTGTAATCCAACGTTAAACAGTTTCCCACCCTCCGAGTCAGTACACCAACTCCTTTGAACCGCAAGCAGTGTAGCTTTGTGGATAGCCATACGGAACCAAAAGACCTAGTAATTCTTGGTTAGCTTGAGTGGAACGTTTAGATTGATTTGATTTTCACGTACCATGCTACAGACCATGATAACAGACAGACATCTGAGAATGAGCTGTTGATATTCACGGTTTGTTTGTTGTGAAATGATACGCTGTAATAACTTTGGTGATCATGCCATTCAAGCATGCTATTCCACCTTGAGGTCGAAAGTCCGATTACATTTATTAGTTGGGAAAACTTCCCAAGTTCCAGTAATCAAAATGCTCAATGCGGCACGAACTGTACGTCATCATTCTTCAAATTGCCGGAGACTCACTGATAAATGTTTGTAAACTACAATAATAATGAAAATAATCAATTTTTGAACAAGATACAAAGTAGTTTGAACACAATTTTCAGTTGAGACACGGTTTGGGTGGGTGAAGCAACAGTTGCAAAGTGATCGCTCTATGCAAATTCGTTAACCTAGTCAATGGTCAAATGATCTCGTGTGATGTTAGTGTTGTCAAATTGCATCAAACATGATAACACTCCTTTTGATGAATAGTTTCTTCCGGTTTTCCGGAAACGTGTTGGACTAGGAGTAACTAATTTTAACCGGACTAAAAGGAATTTTCAAGGATTTAATTGCTATAACTTACTTTTCTGGCAATCACTGGTGCAGCCACCGTTCTCAATAATCCCATTCGTTATTTCGCTTAGAAACGTTTTGTTGATCACACTCTTCCTGCTGAAGACTGATTAACTCTTTTTGCTAATCAAATAATAACTGCGATGCATTACAATAGGAAGCTATTTTCATTCTAAAAGTTAACTTGTTCAATCCGTGGCAGAATGCTTTTACCGAACTCAAGGGAATATTTCAGTTTCTTGATCGAACGTTATTACGCAAAAATGACCTTCTTCTGTGAAATGCCACACAA